CCAGCACCGGAGTCAGTGTGAAACCACCCAGCACCGGAGTCAGTGTGAAACCATCCAGCACTGGAGTCAGTGTGAAACCATCCAGCACCGGAGTCAGTGTGAAACCACCCAGCACTGGAGTCAGTGTGAAACCACCCAGCACTGGAGTCAGTGTGAAACCTCCCACAAGGAACACGGCTCATCATCTCCTAACACACTGGACACACTCACTAAGGCACAGCCTGAGGGTGCCGCTCCACTACCACCTCCTACCTGGCGTGACCTGGGTCGGTGTAGGGGACGGTTCTGATGCACTCGCCCACATAGTTCACCTGGAAGGGCAGCGGGAAGTGGGTCTTCATCTGGCAGGGTTGGAAGGTGGGTTCCTGTGAGACGAGGCAGGGTGTCAGCACAGACTCAGCCGGGACCAACAACCCAGATCACTAAGGATGCTCCCAGGTATGAGTGTGGTCTGCATGAACCCCACCTCTGGGCGCATGTGTGGTCTGCATGAACCCCATATCTGAAGGTGCTAGCTGGACATGTGGGTAACCTGCCACTAGCTGGGCATGTGTGATCTGATGCCCTATGTCTGTGAGGGCGCTCACTGGACACCATGGGACCTGAATGCCCCACATCCCTGAGGGTGCTCGCTGAACACCATGGGACCTGAATGCCCCATGTCTGTAAGGGCGCTCACTGGACACCATGGGACCTGAATGCTCCACATCCCTGAGGGTGCTACCTGGACACACTGTGACCTGAATTCCCCATGTCCTTCAGGGCGCCAGCTGGACACAAGTGTGGGAACAAGGCATTGACACTGTCATTCTATACAATTTCTCACTTTAGAATTCACGTGAAATGCTCCAGTCTTGACACAAAGCCTTTAAAATCTATTAATCTGTTAGATACATTCTATTCCCCGTCATCTGTGTGGTAGGTGACTCTCAGGGCCATCAACTTGGCCACACGCTGTATGATAAACCACAGAAAGGCGCCAGCACGGAGCACAGCGGGCACTGGGGCCCAAGTGCACTGCCAAGCTGACCCTGACCCAGTGCCACGGCCTGCATGGTCAGCAAGGTGACCTGTGAGGTGATGAGGCCAGAGAGACTGCCCAGGGCTGGGCTTGCTCAGTGCTGCCTCAGGGTGGCAGTGACAGGAGGGCACAACCTCAGGGCACAGCAGCCTTGGAGAGGATCAGAGGAGTGCACAGTCAGTCCACATGCAGCCAGGCGGGCTGTGCCCACTCACTGTGATCAGCTTCCTCACGATCTGGGAGCCACAGGCGTCTGCGTTTCCACCAGGGCCGCTGTGTGCAGGTTTCTGAAAATGTTTTCAAGAGAAACAAGAAAACCCAAGACTCCCTTGAGATATGTGAGAAGGTGCACAAGTTATAAAACCCCCAAACCTAATAAGAAGTGTTAGGGCAGATTTGTTTACATGTTTTAAATACCAAGTGTTTTAATTTGTTAAAGATTTGTGGAAAAAAACCTTACAGGTTTTCAGTTAAAGTCTTCCTATGTCACAAAGAAAATCTAGTTTTAAATTTCCTTTCCTCCTTCTGCCCTTACAGTCATGGAACTGCTTGTAGACAAGAGGCCATGTGTACACAGGGGCTGTGACAGAGGCCTGAGCAGCAGGAGGCCCCTGGGTGGGCCCCACGGCAGGGCCGGGCGGGGAGACCAAGCCATGGACAGGGTGAGGGATGTGCACTCACCAGAAACCATCACCTGCAGAGTCTACAACTTCTCCTCTGACACACCAGGCTTCTCTAGCTACATTGTGGGTGACAGTCAAAGCTACCTGTCACCAACCAAACTCTTTGGGTCAGCAGCCACTGGTACAAGTCATCCAGAGCAAAGTCCCTGAACCACTGCATCACAGCGAAAGGGTTCTACACCCTGTGTCCTTCAAAGCCTCAAAAGGACAGACGTGCTCAGACTGCTGTGGCTGCTCTCATGCCACCGCACTCCCCGGGGACACTGCTTACCACAAGCAGCAGGAGGAGGAAGTGAGCACGGAGTCAAGGCTGGGCCACCCACCGCTCACCAGGCCGACCCTGGGAGGTCCCCTAGTCCTCCAGAGCCTCAGTGTCCCCCTGCCTGCTGGACCATCTGGCCTCAGTGGGTTAATATACACGCTGAGTGCCCTGCCCAGCAGGGAGGTGCCGAACACCCCTGTTGTGTGGGCGTTACCTCAACCACATGGGGGTGTACTGGCTTCGGCTCCCTGCCACCACGGCCCAGCGTCCCCAGGAACCGCTCCACCTCCTGCTCCGCCCGAGGCCTCTGCTGCGGAGTCATGTTCATCGAGCATCTGTCAGAGAGAATCACGAAACCATCACTATTAAGAAACTCATTCTACTAATCACAAAAAGTAAGTACTAAATGGTCTTTGTACAAAATAAAAAATGTTGAAAAGAACAGGAGGCAGATGTGGAAATAGCACAACTGTCCCCGCTTTGTGGCTTCACATCCTCACAGACGTCCACACCCCTCAGTGCCCAGCTGAGAACAGCCAGAGACACAAAGACAGCAAAGAGACACAAAGACATTCCTCTCACGGGCCAAGAAAATAAGGGAGCATCAGCAATGCCTGCTGGTGAGGCCTCCTGACCCACTACCAGAATCGGACAGGGGGAAGGGCTGTCCAGGGGGGAAGTCGGCAGTCTGAAGGTGTGAACTGCTGCCAAAGCAGAAAACCACTTTACAAAGTACCAAGAACTCACCATGCTCTCAAAATTAATGAAAAGCAGAACTTTCAAATTCTACAGAATCACAAACACTATCCTGTGAAACTCACTTGGACTCTAACACAGTGACAGCACTGTGTAGCTGACCCTACAGGTGACCCCGAGGGACTGTGGGTGACCAGTCAGCACACAGCACATGGTGTCAGCCACCACAGGGGTGGGGCCTACATGCCAACGCGTGCCTGTGGTGCATGGCGGATCTACGCAAACTAGGCCAGTTGGAGGAGCGGTCAGTGCAGGGAGGTGGTCAGCTACAGAAGCCCTACTGTTTTTTCTTTTTGGCCCTAAACCCTAAGTCTATGTCAGTTAGATTAACAGTGGGAGGCAGGAAATTGATATTCCAGCCTAGGCACTGCCCCACTGCCCAGCATGTAACCCCTTTATCCCCCACAGTGAACACTCAGAATTGGGCTTCACGGAGAAGGCAGCTGCCGGGACTGTGGGAGCAGCCTGACCAGGTCCGTAGGCGCTCGCCACAGGCCCTGCCGCCTGCCACACAGACCGCCCCGTAGAACCCGCTGCAGACCCTGGAAACTGAGCAGGATGGTGCCAGGACCCTGTCACGAGGCACAGTTCACACGGCATTCCTCTGCCAAGGGTCCCTCCACACCCATCAGTGACCTTGGAACCGAGGAGCTGAGAACACACAGCGACATGTTAAAGAGGATGGTGGGCGGGCGTGGGCAGCACTGTGCAGAGGGGGCCTGAGGTGCTGGACGTCTCCCTCAAACCAGGAGATAGTTTTATTTCTGCAATAAACAGATGTCCACTCTGGTCTGTCCCTCTGCTGCCCTCACTGAGGCCTCCTTTACGGACCATTTGCTTTTGGGACCAAAATAACTTTAAACATTTGCCTTAAATATACCTATTATCTAGGATAAAATTAGCTTGCTTTCTCTACCACCTAACACAACTTTCACTGAACTGAAATATTGATCTTTTTCCCAATAGAAAATGGTTTCTTAGCTTCTAAGAGCATTTGAAGTCTAGAATCCATTCTATACACTACAGCTTTACCAAGCTTCCCTCTCTCTTAAAGATAAATTTATAATACTAATATAAACTAATACATATAATACTTTTTATATAATTTTCAAGTGAAAAATATATAAAACCGATACTTGACAAGGTGGGACAATTGACTGCTGGACGTCTGCTGGGAAGTGAGTCATGAGCCCACCTCATGTCATCACAGGTCAGGAGATGCGTCCCGATGAGCGAGAGCGTCCTCAGGACAGGGGTGACGTCCTCCATTTCTGCAATGTTCTTCATCAGCCTCACCTGGACCAGAGGATCACAGGGACAGAGGCTGTGATGGATCCTCTCTAGCCGGAGACCAAATGCCCCCAACCTCAGCCCTGCTTGGGCAGGGCCTCAGGCCTGGCCTGGGACAGGGGGGTAGAGGGCTAAGTGGCACAAAAGGGAAAGTGAGTTAAAGAAAAAAATTTTCCCTGTGAAATGTGGTCCATTAGAAAGTTACCTTTTGTGAGACATAAGCCACTTACTCTCAGAGAACAAGAACAACTCTGGGAGATCTGGCTAATTCAGCCAAACCAGCACACGCCCTGCTGCAGCCCACCTGGTCCATGCCGCTGAAGGTCTCCAGCAAGTCCCCGGCAGGCGTGAGGGTCTGGCTGGCCCGGACAGACGCATAGAGGTGCCCGGCATCTGGGATCCCGTTTGCAAGCTCCTGAGCACTCATCTTGACTAACACTCGGAAGCGTTCTTCTTCTTCAAAGCACGGGCTGTGGAAAATGGAAAGAATTCACTCCTGGAGACCTGTCCCCGTCCCCATGTCCCCTTTTTCACCAAGGAAGATTTATGTTCACAGACCATTTCAACAACCTCAGATTCTACGGGGGAGTTACAAGGAAGATCAGGCCAGGAAATCAACCACCCACCCACATGAGCACGATCTGCTCTGGACACTTCCAGTTGAGAGTTAATGTCATGTGCAGACGAAGTTACCTGTTGAATATTTCAGCCCACAGGTGCATCATGTCTGGCAGGTTTCGATCCAGGCAGAGAGATGAAAACAGCACACCCTAAATCATGCAAGATACACAAAAGGAAAGTTAATTGCGGAATAATTTCTAAACACTCACTGGGAGAGAACTTAGAAGCACGCCGTGTTGTAGGGTAAACGCCACCTGCTCATAGGTGTCCAGGTGAGAGTCGTCGGGGAGCACGTGCGGTGACACCGTCATGCCCCCAGTTTTCAGCTCTATCTGCTGGGCCTGTTCCCTGTAGTCGAGGACGCCGCAGCCCATCCTGGTGAGAGAGAGGTTTCCCTGAACCCCAAGGCAGTTTTTGCTGTACATTTTCGAAATCATGCATCTTGAATTATAAGTTGCTTAAATTAGTCACAGCTTAAAAAATCCCTTCTTATGCTTCAAGGATCACCAGGTGAGACAGCCCTGGCCGTGTGCCCTCTGGAACACTCAGGAGTCTCCTTCCCTGGGCAGAAACCAGCATCTGCCAGCCGGGACCTTCACAGGACCCAGCCACTAGGGACTGGGGCCGTGTCTGCACTAAAAATCAAACTCTAAGGTGTGCCTGTCCAGGCCTGAGCTTGTGAGCCTTCCTCACTCTCGGCCCCCACACACTCTGACGCCTACTTCATGCTCTCAAGGATCTGTGATGGTGGGGGAGTCTGAAGAATGCACCTCTCTGAGCTGTCAGGAGGCCCATCATCCCCAGGGCACATGCTGCATCCCCACCAGGGCAGCTGCGGAAGCTCAGGGTGTGGGGAGCAGATCACAGCTCACTGTGTGGCCTCATGCCCCATTTGCTGGACAGGAAGGGAAGCCCACAGTCCTGTCCACAGCTTGCCCTGCCACCCTTGGCATGCACACAGGGCGGAGTGCATGCGTACAATCCCCAGCCCACCCGCAGACACCTGGTATGGAGCACAGCAGCAAGGGCAGCACTGGCTCAGAAAAGCAAAGTCGGGGTGGGGGCACAGGTGATGCTCCAGGCAGCCACTATACTGTCTAACAGTTGTCTCCTCCAAAATCTCACCAGATCAGCGTCTCTGAGATAGGCAAGCTGCATTACCTTATGCTCTAGGTTCATAAGTATTTTAACGTAACATGATAGGAAAACAATTTTCATACAACAAAAATTGTAAACCAATACATTATATTGTACATTACCAGTACAATATGTTTTACATTTTTACTTTCACCCACGACTCTAAGTTTGAAAACTGATCCACTAAATGGTCATTACTACGAACGTGTTAGAACCACACAGACACACATGCATAAAATACACCCTGGTCCCACACAGAGACGTGCGGGGTCTCGCAGGCAAACACGACGCCTACTTGGTGAGGACGCGGCAGAAGAGGGGCACGTAGCGGCGCAGCTCCCTGGGCAGTGAGTTCAGGCTGGAGAAGGCCCGGAAGTACACCACGCCGTTGGTGGGCTGCTCGCAGTACTGGACGGGGGTGTCCCCAGCTGGAAACACAGAGGACTTGATGGCTTTACTGTTACCAGCACGACATTAACCGTTTTTAATGTTTAGGAGATAATGCTCTTAAGGACGGAGGTTTGAAACTTGCACCAGCAAAAAAAAAAAAAAAAAAATCAATTCACTCGGCAGAGGCTCTATACATCTCCCTGCTGTACCTTCATTATGGTTAAAAAGCCTGCAACAGTCATTGCTGAAGTGACCCCGCTCTCTGAAGATGAGAAAGAGGGAACACAGGCCTTGCTCTTCTGTTTCAAACCAGTGCTGGCCACAGGGGTGCCCCACTCTCTCCACCTTCACCCAGCATCAGCCTGGAGACACCAACCCCACCGTCTCACTCATCTAAACCGCTTCCTCCCCCTGTCCTCTCCTTGGGCCCTACACTCCTGCCCAAGGCCCTGGTGCTGCCCCAGGTGACTCCGGTACCTCGCCAGGTGGGTGCATGTCCTGAGCTAGAGGACGGCTCAGGGCAGCTACTGATGACTGACTCACCTTCACTGTTCTAATGAACATTAAGGAAATTCACCAATAAATAAAAATTGTGGGGCATTAAAAGCCTGGTGGGATGTGAACCCTGATTTCCAGAAGATTCCGCTTGCTCACATCTACACACACACATGCACAGAGACACAGGTGTGTGTGCACACAAAAAAATCAGACGTGGGGACACAGCACTGTGGAAACACAGGAGGCAGGCTGGGGACTCTCCATGGGAACCAGCAATGCTGGGACACGGTCTGAACTCTGCCCCGTCAGCTCAGTAAGAACCAGCAGTGCCCGGGAGGCAGCGTGAACACTGAGGGTACAGCCAGGGGGAGAGGCCTGCAGCCTGCCATCCACCTCCGGGACCACCAGCACTTACACCTGCGAGGCGCTTCCTCTCCCCTGCACTGACAGAGACTCAGAGACCACTGGTGGCTTTAAAAGTGCCCTGACCACAGCCATAGCACAGCCCAAAGCCCCGTCAGACTCTGGAGGTGGTAAGTGACCACGGTCTCCCAGCTCCACTCAGAGGAGCTGACCGGGGCTCCAGGTAGAACTCCACCATCACTAAACTCAAGAAAAGTCACAAGACCTGGGGAGGGCAGCCTGTAATGACTAAGAATGCTCAGATGTTTCAGGGAAAACATCTAAAATGTGGCCCTGCTTTTCCTGTGGAGACTGGTAGGTCATGTCAACAAGGAACCCAGTACCCATGAAGAGGACAGTGTTCCCAGATACCTGCCAGGACCACGTCCAGCTCGGTGACAGGCATGGTGGGCTCAATGTCTGACACCTTCAACGCTGGCAGGCAAGAGGCATCCTGAGGCTGGCTCTGCAGAGCCCGTAATTCCAGACCTAGAAAGAGCCAGGAAAAGCACGGTGGTCAGTGCCACAGCCGAAGGTTCTAAGCACCTCCCCGCCTCGGTCACCTCCCTACACTCAGAGCCAGCCGTCCAGCCAGCGCAGGCACCTCCGGGCTGCAGTTTTAAGGCCCCTGCTGTCCCCAGCAGGCTGGAGCTGGACACAGCACATCCGCTCAGCCAGTGGCCCTCTGATTCTTGCTTATTTCAGAAAAGCATTTTTACGGGGAGAGGTGGTGTCGCCAGCAGTTTCCCCTCCACCCCTTGAAAATTTATACTAGACAGATTAAATGTATTTGTAAGAGTTTTCAAACCAGTTCTTGATGGACTGAAATTGAATAATTTTAACACTTGTTTTCTATTATGGGCATTTTCACTTATTTCAGCAAAATGCTTAATTCCATAAATTTCATACATCATAACAATGCTTAAAACTATGTTTCTATTCACTTAATGAGGGAAGCAGCCCCCCTCAGGGGATCACTCACAGATCACAATCTGGAAAGGAGGACCCAGGGGCCCAGAGCAGGACTGTAAGGACAGGTCTGAACAGTCCTTGTGCAACAAGACCCCTCGATACGCTCCAACCTGCCCGGACCCCACCAGTCCAGGGCCCCCCAGGATACCCCGCCCCACCTCTGGGCGCCAGTGGCTGCTGAGCGGCCGTCTGCTCACGGTCTGCCCGCCCAGGGTTCCGTATAGAGGACTCATTCTGGGCCTGTTCTCCTGCGTCTGCTCACTCCACTCGGCATCAGTTTGTTCCTCAGAGGCATCAGTGTTGAGTTCATTACTACCCTGCTCCTGCTTGTAACTGACTAGTATTTCTTTGTATGGTTGTGCGTGTTGATGGACATTTGGGTGGATCCAGTTGTGGGTAGAGGTTTTCATTGCTCGTGAGTAAATAATAGGAGAGCGGAGTTCAGCACCAAGAGACTAGGAAACCGATTTCCCAAGTGCACTCTTCCCACCACGGTGAAGAACGTACGAGACTTCTCGTACATTTTCACCAGGATGTACGAGCTCCTGTCCTTCACACGATGGGTATCTGGTATGAGCAGTATGTCTTTAAATAATTATTGTACCTACTGGTAATTATACATGATCATAGCTTTGATTTGCACTTTTTAAATAAATGTTGCATTTCCCTAAGAAAATAATGAGATTATTTTCCACATAAGTAATGTTTACCTGCTAATTCGTCATTAGAGTATCTTTTTAGATGATGTACCTACCAAAATCCTTCCCTGACTTTTTAATTGGCTGTTTTCACACTACTGATTTGCTCAAATTTTTCATACAGTCTGGAGACGGTCCTAAATCAGGTGTCAGTCTGCAGACGTGTCCTTGCAGAGGGCCACACCCTGGCTGGAGAGCTCCCCTGTCTCCTGCCCAGGACCCTCCATTGACCTCGGCAAGGTCCCGTCCCTCCCACCCCCACCATCCCAGCTTGCGTCTCATGTCACACTTATGTTTCTAATTGCTTTTCACAATTTTCTCTATCTGGCTTCTCTAATTTTCCTCGAAACCATTCCGAATACCACAATGACCCCGCTGAATGTCACCCCTCTGACCTGTTGAATGTCACCTGAGTACTGTCACCACGACCCTGCTGACCATGGCCAATGCAACCCTGTCCGTGACCTGACTGTGAAGCACCTATGTCCCCACCTTCTACCCCAGGCCCTCCTTCCCACGGCCTTGCCTGGCCAAACTCTCGCTACCCCCGTCCCCTACACCCCACTCCCCTGTCCCCACACACTGCTCCCTTCCCCATTATACATCACCACATGAGCAGGTGCACCGCCCACCTGTGAATGTCCCAAGTCAGTCAATCCTGGGGGTGGGTGGCTAGTGGGCAGCACATCCCCTTCACACCCTGAGGGCAGCTCTGGGCAGCAGCTGACACTGGCCTCTCTGCTCACCAGGCAATCCAATATGCACTGTGACATGTGCAAATCTACGGGCACTTTATGGCACCAGCCACCACATCAAAGGTGGCACTCTTGGTGCTCTGTAGATTCCAGCTGGTTGAAATAACAGTCGCCCCCAACTATGAACTCACAGGAAGTTCCCTGGATCTGGCTGACAGGAAGTTACTGAGCACAAATGAACTCCCAGACCTTTTCTGTAGATCTGCTGCTTGTCCTCCAGGGAGAGAGACTGGACCTTTTGCCTCAGCTTCTCTGCTTCCATCTGCACCTGCTTCTCATGGTACTTGTCATCTGGCCTCATCGACAGGGTCAGCTTGTGCTGGTTATTCTGCAGCAATCGTGCAACAGCAGCCAGGTTACAACAAGACTTTCTTTTTTTTAAGAGACAGAGTCTCACTTTATTGCCCTTGGTAGAGTGCCGTGGAGTCATAGCTCACCGCAACCTCCAACTCCTGGGCTTAGGGGATTCTCTTGCCTCAGCCTCCTGAGTACCTGGGACTACAGGTCCCCACCACAAAGCCTAGATATTTTTTTTTCTTTTTTTTCAGTTTTTGGCCAGGGCTGGGTTTGAATCCACCACCCTCAGTATATGGGGCTGGCACCCT